AAAGCATTTGTAGAGATTCTGGCAACTAGTAGCAGTAATTCCACCATTTAGTAAGAGTTTCCCATGGTGCAGTGTATGTTCTGCTCACCATGCTAAGGACTCATTGCATTTAATCCTTACAATAATGCCACAGGATAATATTATTACCCCCATATGACAGCAAAGAAAGTGAAGGATCATGGAAGTTGAATCATTTCCTGTGTCTGTGTGACTGAAGTGGCAGAGGTGAGATCTGATGACATTCTGCTGTCTTTGGAGCCTGAACTCTGCCCTCATATAGCAGGTGCTCAGTAAAGACTGTAGTGCTCATGGTGATGCTGATGATGGTGATGATGATGATGATGGATGGTACCCCAAGAAAATTCAATTCTCTTAGCATGGTACTCAGCGTCCTTCATGGTGTGGCTTTGACTGCACATCGCAGCCCCACACACTGCCCCTCTACCGACACGGTCTATCCTAGCCCAGCTGAACTACTCAGAGTCCCCAAATGGACATCTTCACATGTACCTCTCTCTGTGGATGATCTTCTTCTCTCCCCTCCCTCCTCCAGCTGATCTGCCATGTCTTTTCCTTAAAGCCTGGTTCCAGTTTCCCCAACTCACTGTGGCTTTCCTTCCCCTCTGTCCCAAGGCCCAGTGGGCAAACCTCTGTTCTAGGCAACAGAGTGTGGTCTTACTGTCTTCTACGCTCCTCTCCCTAGCCATCCTCAACTCTGGCTGTGAGCTCCTGTGACATTCATGTCTGAATCCCCAGTGGCATCTGGAAGGTGCTGAGTAAAATTATTCACAGGTACATATGGATCACACTAGTTGTTCTAAAGCACTGTGCGCTCCACCTCTGTTAACCTGGTTCTGGCTTCCCACCCTCTGAGTTAACAGTCCTCGTGCACATAAGCAAATACCCCTCTGCCAGGAACTGAATAAAGGCCACAGTCCTGATGAAAACACAGTGATGCTGGGGACCAGAGAACCCTCACAGAGCAAGACCCTGTGGCTGCTGAGCATGCCAGAAAGGGAAAATGTCTTCTTTCTAATCAGTTGTTTAGTTCTGAGGCCAACTCAGCTCCCAGAGAACTGAGCTGGATGCCATTTCTGCCTCATTCACAGCGATTCCCACAGTCCAGTTTTAATATTGATGATGACACAGCTGGGTTATTTTTCTAAGAGCAGCTCGTGGTACTAGCATTTTGGAGAGGGGGAAGACACCTTTTGGTTGTAAGCAAAACAAATTTCATGTGGCTATAATTGGAAATAAATCAGACCACCCATATATGTAGTTATTTAAGTTGTCACTCTTGAAATGACATCTGTACCTTGGAAAGCCATCAATTTCTCATCTGTCAGATAGGAAGGTGGCTAAGAGTGCAATGCTGGGAGCCGGCAGGCCAACAGACAGGGAGATGAGGGGAACTCATATTCCATCTTCTTCGTAACACTGCCATCTACTGAAATTTCCTGCCCTGAAGATGCAGTCCTGCAGTCCTTTTCATTCAAGCATTTTCCTGTGTGGTCTCCTTTCTCATTTGATTTACTATTCTATTGATTGTTATGAGGTTTCCCACCCTCCCCTTTCAGAAATTAATTACTGTAATTATTCAACTTTTAATAGCTGCTGATTTGGCATCTGCAGAAAATATTTGAGAAAACGCACGACTACATTTCATTTGCATTTTGAGAGACAGTGAGGGAGAATTAGACTTTTCCTAAATTACTTATTGTGACCTGAATAGAGAAGAAGAATCCTACCAGATGGAACTCTCATTTGCATACTTAATGCATCTGATGGCCATCGAGTTCCACTCCATACACTAACATGACAAGGCACAGAGTTTATCTGAAACTCAGATTCAGCCACAGTTCCCATGCACGAGCTGCAGAGAGACAAGCCACTCTCTGCTCTGCATCATTTCATCGGTCATCACCGCCATGGAGTTGGGCACGACACACCCATCAGCAACCTTTTGGCTGCTAAGGCCGCCCAAACCACTGGCTTGGTTGTTCTCATTCCAGGTACACTGTATGGCTGGAAATACAGCTAAGAAAGCCAGACATCCTTACTGTAAAGCTCTTGCACCTGCAAAATTGGGCAATGCCCAGAGATCATGACCTTACATTCTGCAAAAGCTGCAAAGATGAGAGAGCATTCATCAAACACACCTTGATCTGGGGCCGGGGAGTGAGTTCCAGACCTCCCGTCACCAGTTCCATGACTGCAGGAGTCACCCACCTTTCTTGAGCCTCAAGTCCCTACCATGTGGGAAGATTCTAGTGTGCTGGGATGAGCTGTTATGAATACTGACGAAACAACAGGCCTGGCACAGAGGTAGCCCTGAGTGTGATTAGTGTTCAAAATGGTCCAGGCAGACCCTGTCTTGAACATCAAGGTAAAGAAAGTAAAGTCCCAGATTTGAGACAACTAAATGACTAGAAGACATGTAAAGAACTAGAAGATGCTTTATTTCAGGGTCAAATATTTTTATCTACCAGTTGATGCTTAAGGCAAGTAGGTGCTGGTCTTAAAAGATGACCCCCAACAATCCCCTCTGTCCTCTACACACACGTAACCCCTCACATCAGTAGAGGGGGCATATGGCCCTTCCCACTGAGTCTAAGCTGAACCTGTGACTCACTTTGACCAACAAATGCTGTGGAAGCAAGGTCAGCTCGTTCAAGGCCTAAGCCTTCGGAGGACCTGGAAGTTTCTGCCTTTGTGCCTTTGGGAGCCCTGAGCTATTATGTGGCCTGATGGAGAATTCACTTGGAGGAGCACGGATGGAGGCTGGACAGAGAGTGCTACATGGAGAAGAACCCAGAATGCTATTATAACAGCTTCAATCAAGGCCCCAGGCATCTGGCCCAGCCCACGAGACTCCTGTCATTGGAGACAGCCCAATGAGATGCCATCTGTGTGAATAAGGAAGACATCTTAAATGGTCCAGCCCACCCATCACCTTGGGGTGCAAAGACGGGCTGTCCCTGATGAGGCTGTCAGAATTACTACCCCACAGGCATCGTGAGAAAGAATGACATAGTTTGCTAACTGGGTGGCACTTTGTCACACAGCAACAGGTAGCTGAAGAACCGATCAAGCCCATTTTACTCCAGCCTACTTACTTTCTGCAAGTGTAGAAAAATATAAGTGCATTCTATTTTACTATGAGATGAGTCTCTCTTCATTAGTTTGATCATTACTTCATGGTCACTTTCCAGCAAAGGAGCAGGAACCAGAAAAAAGATTCCAGTTATAAAGGGACATAGAGACATGGAACCAAGTCAGCCCTTTTTTGCAAGCCTGTATGAAATACTACAGAATTTCCTTGGTGAAAACAGTTCCCTTCCCTACACATCAAGGCTTTTGCTCCCCGCTCCACTTTTCTCACTGATTTTGGCAGGTTTGCAACATTTTACTAGGTCATTGTCATTTTCAGGCTGTGATTAATGACACCAATAGTGTTCATTTCTTCCTAGAACATATCACTTCATTTTTAGGTCCTGGACAAAGCCCAGCTGAACCCGCAACCCCGGTACCTCATTCCTCCTGCAGAAGCCACAACTGCACAAGGGGAAGACCAGGAGACCTACCACCAGGTAGGACCACATTTAATACCAGGTGCGCCAACTGAGAATCCTTCCAAGTCATTTAAATTATCTGAGCCTCTGTTTCCCCACTGGTAAAAACAGAGACAAATAATACTCCCAAGAAAACTGCAATGAGGACAAACCATGAAAAGGTCCAGCACCACACCTGCTTGCTCAGTCCAGTTCGTACCCTCTCCTCTGCACTCATTAGAGCATGGATTCTCCAGGTTTTCCTCAACAAGAACTGCCTTGTTCTGTTACTCAATCCTTTCATCCTGCTGCGGAGCCCCTTATTCTGTGAGGACGGGAACTTGGGTGGTTTTGTTTTGGGTTTTTTTTTTTCTCTCCCTCTTCCCACCCCCTGGACCTCATCTCAGGGTCCTGTGAGTCTGTCTCTCCTCTCTCTTCACACTTGCCCAGACACCACCCTAGCTGAGCCACCTTCGATGTGGTCCTGCAGACATGGATTTCGAACTGTTGCTCCCATTCCTAGGCCATTCCCCATGCAATAAACAGAGAGAGTTTTTGATACAAAAACCTCAGAGAGTCATCCTCTCCTCCTTTGCAAGGCTTCTTGCTACCCTAGGGATAAAACTCCATCCATAAGCAGGGCTCCAGCCATCCTTCGCCTGCCCCATCTGGCACATTTCCCACTCTCCCCCTCTGCTCCCACCCCAGCCGCCTGCAGCAGGCTCCTTCCTGCCTGGTTAATTGCTACTCATCTTTCAGGGCCCTGGTTGAATGTCACCATCTAGGAGATGGCTTCCCCGACCTCCACCCCTTCCTCTAAATTAGATTTAATCAGGTCTTCCCCCACCTCCATTCCCATTATTCTTTCTCAGCATCTTATTTTTCCCTATTATTATCACTTGTCACAATCTGTCATTGTATATTCATTTGTGGGCTTATTTATTCAGTCTGTCTGCACTGGCAGCATCTCTTGGTCCCCATGAGAGACACAGGATCCAGGGACAGTGTCCATCTTGTTAGCCCGGCATGTCCTATACAGAGGACCGAGCCGTGATCACAGCCAGCACCCACAGGATAGATGACTACCAGGGGTGGTGGGGAGGACTTCCAGCCCCACCAATGCCCAGCGCTGTCCTCAGTACCCAGGGCTGGCCTCATGAAGGCAGAATCATTTCAGCTAGTTTGTCTTTGGCTGTGGATTTTAGTAGGGTCACTTCACCAGCAGAAACGACCTGTTTCGAATGGCCTTGGAGGGAAGGGCAGCAGAACTCAATCAAGGGTCCTGGACACACTACCTCTACCCTGCAGGACGAGCGTCACGTTGTGGGGGAGGGGCTCCGCTAATGCAGGGTACTGAGGGCAAAGGCAAAGAAGAAGAAATCTGGCCAGAAGGAGCTTAAGTGAGTCATCATGTGAGAAAGACAAATATGTGTGTTCATCCACAAGTACCTGGGGGTGGTCTGTGTGGTACAACCGAGGCAGCAGTCTCACCATGATGCACAGGACCCCAGGGTGCATGATCACAGCGTCCCCTTCATCCACCCTGCAGAGAGAGGGCAAGCAGGATATCAGCTTTGAGTTTTCTAGTCTCTTCTGTTTTTCACAAACCTTTCTGAATCTTTCTCTGATAGGCCACAAGACACATCCTTATTCTACCACATATGATCTATATAACTTTGAACTAATTAATCTGAGCCTAATTTTCCCCAGCTGTATGTGGAACCCATAATACCATACTTCTCTCAGAGAGACATAGAATAATGCTTTTGGGCCCCAGGACACAGTGGCTGGCTCATAGTCGATACTCAACGTAAGTAAGTTGCCTGGTCCTCTCCCCTTCCCTCCGGGCATAAAGGAGATAGACAGGCTCTCCGTTTATGTTAAACACGTACGCACAAGCATTTCTGAGTCCCTTCAAGGTGTGTAGGCATACTCAACTCTGCCCTACCCCCTGAATGCAACTCAAAACTCACATAGAACAAATAAGCAGTTCTCTGATGACTCTGAAAAGTAAATGGTAGCAGAGAAGGAAACCAAACCCACAGCACCATTCAACTGCATTGAATTTTCTGGGGTATCTCCCTCCAGAATTCCTGGGTATGGGCTCAGAGGGCATCTGAAAACAGAAATGTGCACCATGTACAGACAAGGACAGAGTGCCAAGAAAACATCTCTGTTTCTGGGCTGAGGAACAGAAAAGTAGGCTCCTACAGGTCACAGAGCATGGAGGAGAAGCCCTGAGATGTTCTTTGTTAAGTTCCTTCGTTCTTTCTCAGTCAGACTCCAGACAACCTCATAGCAGTAGCAGCAGCCAGGCAGGTGTCTGAGTGTCTAGGAGAAGACAAATCCTTCTCTCTAACCAGAAGAACTATGGTTCTAAGAGTGTAGGCAAAATCTCCATCGCTCTTGTCTCTCTATTTCCTTTCCTTGCTTGGCACCAGAAACAGATGCAGTGGTAGGAGGTACATGGCAAAGCAGGAAAACTAAAGCCTCAGCTTCCTAGACAGAGGAGAAGGAAGAGACCCCTGGTAGACATGAAGTGTTGGGGAGACATGAAGAGGAGGAGGCTTAAGAAAGTCAGACTTTGTATCAACCTCTGGCCTCGATTCTGAGTTGCATGTGTGGATGTGACCCTTAACCACATTCCTAAGGCTTTGAGAACTGAACTCAAGGGTAAAGACCACCCATGACTGGCTACTGCATGGGGCAAATATAGGGTAGATCAAACCTCACTGCCAAGTCTGTGAAGCCAAACTAATAACAGAAACATGGTCCACAGAAAGGTGGGTAAGAACTTTCAGGCTAAACCTAACCTGGTTGCTTGCCTGGTGAAACAAAACAATCAGCATTCTCCAGATGTCAACAAAAGCCAGAGTTCATAACGTTCAAAATATCCAGGACACAATTTGATATTACTTAGCATAGAACAAAGCAGGGAAATATCAATACCTCACACAGAAAAAGATAATCAACAGATGACAAGGCTGAGATGACCCAGATGTTGAAACTATCAGACAAAAATTTTATTTTTTTTAATCAGGCAAAAACTTTAAATCTGCTGTTTATATACCACACTCTAAGGAATAAGGGTGAATATTATTGAAATGGATGAAAAACAAAGAAGTTTCAGCAAAGAAATGGGAGCAATAAAAAAGAACCAAATGGAAATTTAAGATCTGAAAATACAATAACAAATTTAAAAATCTCACTAAGTGCAAACAATAAGAAAATGAGATGAAAGAGAGTCCATGAATTTAAGGACAGATCAATAGAAATTGCCCAGTCTGAACAACAAAAAGGAAAAAGATTTTTTAAAGTGTAAGAAATCCTCTAGGAGAACACAGGCAGTAACCTCTTTGATATCGGCCACAGCAACCTCCTTCACGACATGTCCCCAGAGGCAAAGGAAACAAATGCTAAGATTCTCAACAAGATCCTAGCTAATAGGATCCAACAGTATACTAAAAAGATTTATCCACCATGACCAGGTGGGATTTGTTCATGGGATGTAAAAGTGGTTCAACATTCGCAAATTAATGTGATAGAACAAATCAATAAGAGAAGAGAGAAGAACCCCATGGTCCTCCTAATTGATGCAGAAAAAGCATTTGACAAGATACAGCAACCGTTCCTGATTAAAACAATTCAAAGTATAGGGATAGAGGGAACATTCCTCAACTTCATAAAATCTATCTATGAAAAACCCACAGTGAACGTCATCCTCAATGGGGAAAAGCTGACAGCCTTCCCTTTGACATCAGGAACACGACAAGGATGCCCACTCTCGCCACTCTTGTTCAACATAGTATTAGAAGTCCTAGCAACAGCAATCACACAACAAAGAGAAATAAAAGGTATTCGAATTGGCAATGAAGAAGTCAAATTCTCTCTCTTCATACATGACATGATACTTTATATGGAAAATTCAAAACACTCCACCCCCAAACTACTAGAACTCATACAGCAATTCAGTAATGTTGCAGGATATAAAATCAATGTACAGAAATCAGTTGCTTTCTTATACACTAACAATGAAACTATAGAAAGGAAAATGAGAGAATTGATTCCGTTTACTATAGCACCAAGAACCATAAGATACCTGAAAAGAGGTAAAGGATCTGTACTGGAGGAACTACAGAACACTCATAAAAGAAAATGAAGAAGACCCGAAAAAACAGAAGACCATTCCATGCTCGTGGATCAGAAGAATAAACATTGTTAAAATGTGTATACTATCTAGAGCAATCTATACTTCCAACGGCATCCCAATAAAAATTCCACCAGCATTTTTCAAAGAGCTGGAACAAACAATCTTAAAATTTGTACAGAAGCAGAAGAGACCCTAAATTGCTAAGGAAATGTTGAAAAAGAAAAACAAAACTGGGGGCATCACGTTGCCTGATTTCAAGCTTTACTACAAAACTGTGGTCACCAAGACAGCATGGTATTGGCACAAAAACAGACACATAGACCAGTGGAACAGAGTAGAGAGCCCAGATATGGACCCTCAACTCTATGGTCAAATAATCTTCGACAAAACAGGAAAAAATATACAGTGGAAAAAAGACAGTCTCTTCAACAAATGGTGCTGGGAAAATTGGACAGCTATGTGTAGAAGAACGAAACTCGACCATTCTCTTATACCATACACAAAGATAAACTCGCAATGAATAAATGACCTCAACGTGAGGCAGGAATCTATCAAAATCCTAGAGGAGAACATAGGCAGTAACCTCTTCTTTGGCCACAGCAACTTCTTTTAAGATATATCTCCAAAGGCAAAGGAAACAAAAGTGAAAATGAACTTTTGGGACTTCATCAAGATCAAAAGCTTCTGCACAGCAAAGGAAACAGTCAACAAAACAAGGAGGAAACCCACAGAATGGGAGAAGATACTCGCAAATGATACTACAGACAAAGGGTTGGTATACAAGATCTATAAAGAAGTCCTCAAACTCAACACACACAAAAGAGATAATCATGTCAAAATGGGCAGAAGACATGAACAGACACTTCTCCAAAGAAGACATACAAATGGCTAACAGTACATGAAAAAATGTTCATCATCATTAGCCATCTGGGAGATTCAAATCAAAACCACACTGAGATACCACCTTACACCAGTTAGAATGGCCAAAATTAACAATGCAGTAAACAACATGTGTTGGAAAGGATGTGGAGAAAGGGGAGGGGGACCCTCTTACACTGTTGGTAGGAATGCAAGTTGGTGCAGCCACTTTGGAAAACAGTGTGGAGATTCCTTAAGAAATTAAAAATAGAGCTTCCCTATGACCCTGCAATTGCACTATTGGGTTTTACCCCAAAGATACAGATGTAATGAAAAGAAGGGCCATCTGTACCCCAATGTTCAAAGCAGCAATGGCCCTTCAATGGACAAATGGATAATGAAGATATGGTCCATGTATACAATAGAGCATTATGCCTCCATCAGAAAGGATAAATACCCAACTTTTGTATCAACATGGATGGGACTGGAAGAGATTATGCTGAGTGAAATAAGTCAAGCAGAGAGAGTCAATTATCATATGGTTTCACTTACTTGTGGAGCATAAGGAATAACACGGAGGACATGGGGAAACAGAGAGGAGAAGTGAGTTGGGGGAAATCGGAAGGGGAAATAAACCATGAGAGACTGTGGACTCTGAGAAACAAACTAAGGGTTTTGAAGGGGAGGGGATGGGGGGTTGGGTGGGCCTGGTGGTGGGAATTATGAAGGGCACGTATTGCATGGAGCACTGGGTGTGGTGCATAAACAATGAATTCTGGAGCACTGAAAAGAAATTTAAAAAACAAAATGAAAAAAAAAAAAAAAGATGCCCAGCACCTGGGGCCAAGTTCTTTAAGTTTAATGTGCTTAAAAATAAAAGAGAAGCTTTAAAAAAAAATTTAAAAAATAAAGAATAGAAACCTAAACTCCAATCCCAGTGACTGTGGTTCAGGAAATCTGGTTTATGAGATTATATTTTAGAACTTTCACAACTGATTCTGATGCAGGCAGGTAGGCTATAGGCCATACTGGGAGAAGCGTTGCTCTGAGGTGTGGATCCCAAGAGCAGGAATGAGGGTAGGGGTTCCGAATGCCAAGGAGGGTGGACAGATAGTGGTAACCCACATGACCTAGTGATCCTGAATGGCTCAATCTATCTTGCAAAAGACCTGTGCATGTAACTGAAAGTTATAATCCAAAGGTTATAATCCAAGATTATATACATGATTATCTATATCTCTCAAGGCCTAGAGCTGAGGACAGGGGAAGAGGAGTGCTTGGTCGAGTTTTACAATGTAAGAGTGATGTCATTTCATTCAAAGAATCCCGAGGCCTGTGGGGATATCGGAACCAGTGGGACCACATCACATCACACAGAGCCTGCGTTTGGCTATCCCCATCTCCCCACCCTGTGACCTCGGAAGCGGCACATGGTAAGGCATGGTGCTCGGATCCATCCCTGTATTTTTCCTGCTTAGCTGTGGAAGTCAGACTATCCCTCATCCAGACGATAGCCAAATTCTCTGGGCAGGCTC